GTTCCATTCTTAAGTAAAGCTGGAAGTAAAACATAGAAGCATAAAGCATTCAGCTTAAATAAATGAATGCGTTAAGTAGGCTAGAGTGTTGTATCAAGGGACTACTACTACTACTTGCAAAGCACCTCTAGTTCCTTCATTAGCGAAGGCTCTGTAGTAAATACTAATTGCAGAGTAAAATCTCATCCATTATTGCCAAATGTCTAGTCTATCGCAAGTGCCTTTTACGCCATGGTGAGATCAAATTTGAGTGAATTATTTGTTTTTAAAAACTGTTGGACCGCATTCCATGCCCGTGTGTCAAAGTCGAAAAAAATAAGAAGGTCTTCATATCTGACCACATATGTCACGACTTTGTGGCTTCTTGGGTAAGATTACTTACAAAAGGTGTAGTTTAGAATGAATTTTATGAACATGCCAGCTGATTCTTTTAATTTAAATAGATATTCTGATTGAGCCATTTTCACCCTCCCTTTATTACTATCGCAGCATTCTTCACTAATGTCTGAACTACTCGTGCTTGGATAATGAAGCAAAAGCGTGCTCTAAATGAAGCGTTACCTCCACTTTGAGATTCGTCTACACCTGAGGTCAACTTTTGACCGGGTAATTGCAATGTTGATTTCCCTATGGTGTGATTTATGCGTCTCATGCGTTTGTTACTTAGCTAAATTTGCAAAGGAAAAAATGAAAGAGAACAAGTACTTGCCGAAACAGAAGTTAGACGGCGCGCCAATTCACCGACAGAACTGTAAAACATTTAGGAACTCCTCCTGCGCAGCTTTTATGTCAAGCGTGGTAAGTTATCTCCTCCTATAAACACTTCCTTCAATGATGGAGGCTCATTAATGTAGCACCTTCTTCTTCCCCCTTATAAGTAGCATAAAATGTCCTCAAATAAATAATGTTGTCGCTCTCTCAATCTCTTTCCCCGTTTTAGTTTTATCGCTAATGATGTGGAGACTGCTTTTTATTGCAGAAAAGTTTTACAAACAATGCTTACACTGGAGGGTGCCCAGTTTGCAACTTGGATGAAGCAACGCAAATGGGCAAAACAATACGTAATGCACCAAATTTTTTGAGTAAGGGTACCGCAACAGTGCTAGTTAGAATCAACGAGATGCGGCAAAGTCCTATTATAGCCAAAGTTGCCCTTTGTTGGGAAAAAAATCTTCCAGCAGGCGTACACGAATTTGCAGTCCACACAAGAGATAAAAGCGGTCGGTTAATCCCACCTCTGTTTATCTTCAAGTCCAATTTGCATTCTAGTCAGTTTCACTTCTTAATGAAACCCACAGTCAGCAATGGCACAAAAAATTTGCCTGAGGGAGTGATCACGAGACCAGATGGTTGCAATTTTGTT